ATTGTCATCTACCCACCGGAAGATGACTGGGAAACCTAGTTTCTTCACCACTATCCACTTCCAAGTCTCTGCCGGGGCGCCAAAAACACCACAACTCACAACTCCACCAAAACCAACCGCTAGATCGACCCAAACTCTGCCTCTGAAATCTACGATAATCAGGAACCGTCTTTACGAAGGGTGTACTCCCAGTTGCCTATAGGCCTTGGCCCAATCGACCAAAGCCAATTCCCATTCTCCCGGATTGGCGGCAAGGAAACGAGCAACAGTTTTAAAATCGTCCCATCTCGTTTCGTAATTCTTTTTGTCTACGAAAGAGTTTACCGATGGGATGTCGGGGTCGCGTTTGGGGTAAGATAGGTCATTAATCAGCCTTAGAGACCCATCCCCATTGATCGCGCTACCCATCGGGTTGGAGCGAAAGAAGCCATAATTTTTGTAGACTTCTTTGTGGGTATATGGGCCTGCGATCCGTCCTGCTCTTAGCTCTTGTTCCAATGTACGTTCAATCTCCACTTCGACATCTCTAGCTGAGGAGTGATTCTCCGGCGTATACCATGGTAGGTTCCCCAGCGTGTGTTGGGGTATCCCCAAACAAAAACCTTCCTTAAAGCCCTCTAAAATGTATGAGATATCGTCCTGCAGTCCCGTCTCCTCCATCAAAGTCTTCCACCTATCGAGTACCATTTCCGTTCTAACCGGTGCCGGCCAAAGTCCAACCCCATCTACCTTGAATGTCTGTCTATCCTTCAACGGTAAGATTTTCTTCATCTCTACCTTGGTCGAGGTATCTGAGGAAGAAGATGACGAGTCTGTGTTCTCAATGCTCTCCACCCCCTCTAGATCATGTCGGTCATTCTCCTGGGGGTCTTTATCTTTCACTTCTACTCGTGGTATTGACAAGGCAGGATGCTCTTCCTCCACAATCGGCAGATGTTTGGGACTGAACGTTTCCCGCTAATCATCCCACAAAAAAGGGGGGGGAACGGCAAAACGAGTAGTAAGAATCTGATCAATTTTCCATTCCATATTGCACCAATTCTGTCCTGAAGCGGGTACTAATTCTAAAAAAATTCTGAGGGTGGTAAGAAATAAACCGTACCATGTATCAGAATGTCAACAACATAAACCCACAACACACACAAGCACAAACAAGTAGTACAAGCGTTGAAGAGACAGGAAATTCCCAAGTGTCATTGCGGTGACCCAAATCACAAACCAATGGTATGGAGGGGGATTTGGGAAGTCATGGAGGGAGATAAAGGGAGAGATCAAAAGGAGTTCTGCACGTTAGTAATCCGGCCTCCTCAGACTCATTCTGGGCTAGACAGCTCACCAAGCACCCTCTCCACCCTTTTGGGTTTTCCCACCCTTCTGGGATCCAGTATGCTTGCTCGCATGCTGTTGACCTTGAGTCACCCAGTCCTGACCATTCGTGGACGAGTGGTGAGGAGCACTCTTCTGTGCTTGGCCATAAGAGCCACTGTAAGTGCTACCTCTACCCCTATTTCCTCCTCTCTTCTTCCTAAACTTTCCTGAACTACCTCCTCCACCATCTCTCTCTTTCAACGATCCGTCCATCTTCCCCTTCGACAAGCCTGCTACCGGTGTTTCTACAACTGGGGGTTGGCCTGTGAAGAAGTCGAAGCCAAATTTAGGTTGGCCTGGGGCAACCCTGTGCCAGCAACGCAACGCACCGCAACACGCAGTCCCAACGTGCTTGTCTCACCGCCAGTTTCTGAACCCCTCTCGGCAACACCACTCTATCGACTTTAACTTTCCCTCTCCTTCCGTCTTTCTTCATTCCATAGATGATCCTCGAGCGCTTCCGAAACACCACCGCTCTCACCGCTAGATGGTACCTTAAGCCTACCATCCAGCTCTTATATTTCACCATCAACTCGTTCACCAATATCTTGTGAGTTGATATCCACGCTGCGTAAGCTCCGTGGCCGTATACCTCTTCAGCGTATCTGGCTTCAAGATCGCAGGCCATGACAAAATCACCATAGTACATCTGCCTCTCTTGGTCTCTCTCCGAAATCGAGGCATTGATACCCTTCTTCCATTTTTTCGACCCGTCTTGTACAGCCGAATGGAACGCTTCGATGTAGGAACGACAAAACACCAATAGGGGGACATACTTCTTGAACTTCCTGAAGTTCTTGTCCCATTCGTCGGGTAGATCCGGTAAATCAAGGCCTGAAACGGTGTCTAAACCGAATTCAAGTTTCTTCTGTTTCGAAGATTTCCCTTCCTCCGAATCAGAGGAGCCAGAGGATGACTCCGTAGAACTGGGGGAGTCTGACGAACTTGACGAGGAGCTTGACGAAGTTTGTTCCTCTGAGGACGAATCCGACGAAGAAGATCCGTCAGAGGAATCATCCGAGCTACTATCGCTAGAGGATGATGCGCTAGAATCCGAGCTAGAGGAAGAGTAACGTCGATTCCTCTTCTTGGAAGACTTTTTACTCGGTTTCCGTCTCCTCTTTGAAGACTTCTTTGACGACTTCTTCGATTTACTTTTGTCCTTTTTCTTCCCCCCCTTCATTTTCTTGCTCGTTCTCACCAGCCGTGGTTCCTTCTCCAGCTTTTTAGCCTCCGCCTCTCGCATCTCTGATTGTAAGACCTTGATAGTGTCTAAATCTTCATGGTCGATTGCGTACATCAAACGATCCATAAGAGAGCTCGAAGCTTTTGGCTTCTGTTTGTCCGAGGTGAGTTCATGCTTCTTAGCCGATGGTTCTTTGGCCTGATGATCTAAATGGTTCAACAGGTTTGGGGCTGATTCACAGCAAAACCCAAGTACCCAAATGAGTGAAATCAATCGAACCCATAACAAGTCAGTTTATCTTGGTCCCCAGTCAGTAACTTGGACATAGGTGGGGGGGGGAGCATCACAGAGGGATCGAGTAAGATCAGATTGCATCTACGTTTTTAAAGAAACAGAGCTAATCGTAATCTCTCTTCAACCTCAACACGTGAATCTATCACGCGTGGTGGAGTCCCTCTTCCAGGAAACGAACAAGGTGTTCTACTCCCTGGCTCGCTTCTCTCTCGTTCTCACTAGTCCTTCGGAAGGAGAACTCGGCGAGGCAGCCTCCACCTGGTGGGGCTGTGGTGCCCACGACGGAGAGGTCTCAAGCTGGGTGAGTCACTCATCTACGTCTTCGGCATAAGTGGAAGGAGCTCTCTAAAGCTGCAACTATCCTAATTAGGGGATAATCAAGGGAGCCCGTAGGCTGCTACCCTGGCCTCTCCGACAGGAGCCTCTTTCAAGGCTACTACTGTCACCCGTCTTCAGACTCATGTCAGATGTGACCGGTCTATTGATAAGCTGAGAGAGGAAACCCAAATTGGGGTACAGTGGAGGGGGGGGGACAGGCGAGGAGACGCTCAATGGGTAAAGGAAAGAATTTCAAGCAAGGCTTACAAAGGTCGTCCTGTATCAAGTATCTGTAAGATTTCCCTAAGTCAACCAAACTCTCGTCTTCCGAGGAGTAATCCTTGATCTTTACCGCCTTCCCTTTTCCCTTTTTCCCCTTAAGACTTTTCTTTTTCTTCACTGACTTCTTTCTCTTCTTCTTTCCAGAGCTCTCTCCACTACTCAACTCATCCACATTCTCCGAATCACTTTCCTCCCTTCTATCTCTCAACTCCGCCTTTGACACCTCTCCGTCTTCCTTCGACGTCCCTGCGCCAGCATGCGCCAGCATGCGCCTCTCCGCCTGGAACTTTGACCATCAGTGGGTTCGTGCCATGATCATTCGAGACCTCCTTCATCTGGTTGATAAGGTTGTCTTCCAGGGGTGTCAACATGTGGTCACGTTGCGATCCGAGTGGGTCTCCTTCATCCATCGGTGGTGCACGAGAATGAGCTCTTCGAGATCGACCTTCTGCTTGCTCTTTTAGTTTCCGCGCATGCGCCTGCTTCTTCTCTTCATCCTGGTTGATCATCTCAGTCATGTTCTTCGATTGGTAAACTGGTGTTTTAGTTGTCTTTCTTTTCAACTGTCTCCACATCCACGTAATCTTAGATGTTGTTTTTTTTATGAAATTTTCTATGAGGGAAGGAATCCTATAGAAACTTGAACTTGCTGAGGGAGTGCAGGATGTGTCGAGAGAGGAATTGGATTGGAGTGGGAGAAATTTTTCTCCTTCTTCCAATTCTTCCAAATTCCCAGCCAACCAGATGTCACAGTCTAGTAGTGACATCTCAGTTGCTTCTTCACACACCTGTCACTCCCTACTTCCTTCAGGAATGGACTTTAGTGTACATCCGCGAGCTCCTGAACACTATGCAATTTTGCTAGTGGAACAGAGAAATGAGCACGGCATTGCAAGGCTTAAGTCTAGTTTCATGTGTATGTATTCGCCGGAAGAGACTTTGGTGTGGGGGTGGCGCCGGGAGTTGCGGAGAGGCATATGTAGAGGTCTGTATCCTTGATCTGCCCGCCCCTGAATAAGATCATCTTGAACTTATAGAGACAAGGTCTCGACAGAGAGTAGCAGAGTGAGCAGCAGAAGGCATATGGTTCGAAAAGGATCACAGCGCGAGTTTTTCTCGATAACGAGAACAATTGGGTGGTATATCCAAGTATATCATGGGATGGTTCTTCTCATGACACAAAATTAAGGTCTGTTTGATCTCAACGATTGGAGGATGCAGTCCAAATAAGATCTCACCAGATTTCAGGACGGGTTCCAGCGTTCAACTTCAGTTACAAGCATTCCAATTCTTTCTAACCAAATCCTGACAAAAGCGACAACTGACACTTTTTTTGATATCAAACTCAATACGTATGCAGCTAGGAAAAAAATAAGAAGATATTATACAACGGACTGGTGGCAAACAAGTTTTTTTCTTATTTTGAGTATTGTACAATAGATTATGAGATGTAGATAACTGTCCCTCGATGCAAAAACAAATACAAAAAAGCACTACACATGATCAAGGAGAAAATGAAAATAAGGGGGTAGATGAGTTTTGAAAGTAGAAATCAATCAAAGTAGGCATCAATAACACCATAGTCTTCTAACTCAGATAGAATCCGAAAGTCTTCATCTTTGAATGAATTGCCATTGCCAAAGCAGTGCTCAACTTCCGGTGAGTGAGGGCTAGGTAGAAGAAGAGTTCCAGGGCTGACTACGTCTTCCTCCTTTACCGCAACGAATTCTGGATATTTCCACCCGTCTGAGACTTCATCCGGTTCAGTTACTTGTAATATCGGGATCGAGCGCGTCGGATCCGTGACGGGAACCCATGGAGTGTGGTGAACAGGCTCCTCTTCGAATGATGTGATCGGTGATGGATTGGCAGATGATGGAAGAGAAGGTGTAAAGAAAAAAGGGCCACTTGGACTTTCACTCTTCACAGCGGGATTCGGATAGCCATCGTGCAATAACCGCGTTTCTTTCGGAGCTTTGCCTTCAGCCATTGAAGAATTGGACTGCTGTTAATTGGAAAATGCAAACAAATCGAGCAATGAGTATTAGATTCTGTTTGCAAACGTTTGAGAAGAAGATTGCTACAAGATTGGTCACATACCACTGCCAGATTTGATCTTTTTAACTTCTCTTTGTCCGAGTTCAACTCCTTTTGAAAATCCGCCAAGCTCATCTCTCGTTCGGTCAAGATGTAAGGTAAAGGTCGCGAGGGAGCGATTTTGAGTCGCTTCTGAGAAGTAGCTAAGGTTTGGATTGAAGTGGAAACCAAGTTCTGCATTTAAAGGAAGAAGAATTTGGGATCAGCTAACGGCATTCAGACATTGAGAGGATTTCAAACTGAAAAGACTACTTACATCGACTTGGGATATCGTTCGTTTCCTCGGGACTTCTTTACCATACATTGAGTCGAGGAATGCATTTAAGATGCTCATGATAGTGAAGATGATGGTAGAAGACTAGGTGAAGGTTACAATAAATGTTAAGGTTACAAGAGATGGTCAAATCGAACTGAGCCTAATGGAAGACGATTTTGATTTCAAGAAAGAACTTTTGCAATGTTTCCAAGGAAGACGAAATAAACAAGCAGCAGATAATGGGAGTTCAGGTATGTGGATTGATCGATCAAGGGATGTTCCGATTGGAAACTGATGTTCAAGTGATGATGCGATTTGAAAGTTGTGATGGAAATGTGTCAACTTCAAGTGTAAGGCAGGCGGGATCTATAAAAAAGAGCTGCTGAGGAAAAAGAAAGCGCTACTCCAGGGCAGACGGAGTACGTGTATAGGGTAGCATAACGTGACCTTTCAAAATGCAAATGCAAATGCAAATGCAAATGCAATCCTACTCAGACTCAGAGCGTTCATACTTATAAGCGTTGAGCTGGAAAGAGACCAAGAACCGCGGAATCGAAAGTTCCTAAAACTCTGCGACAAAAGCGAAGCCTTCTGATTAACTTATCAAATGCGTCACTTTTCTTATGAAAGTTGACAAAGAATTACAAGGAAGACGGTGTTATAGTTGGATTCATGAAATACTCGAAAAGTCAAGGGTCGCGCCAGAGCCCCCGGCCGCCAAT